TGAGAACCGTGTGACTGTGATTAGTTATTATCACTGACAATATCATATTGTATACCTACCAAATATTTTAATAATATGACATTTTTAACGATTTATAATATTGTTGTGGACAATAATCACTGTTTACTTACAAAATATTTATAATCGTTGGCGTTGCGACATTCGCGAGACCGCAACGATGCAGCGTGTGATGAAAAGTTCGACAGAATAGAATAATTCGATATGGTTGATGCCGACGAGATGGGTCGTCTCTCATCAGAATCTCATGGTTTTAAATCAGGTTGCAAACCAAATTCTTTGGATTTTATCTCGAGAGACACCGTACAGACAAAACCCGTCCTCGCAGTCGGACCGCGTACACGTTACAGCGCGTAACCTACAAAACAGCAAAATATTGTATTATAATATTATTATTCTTGATGATGGGTGTGTAATGCGTTTGGGCAGCACTGAGGCGGTGGTTACGTTTGCATTCGGTTATGTTTCAGTAACCGGTTTTAGACTCCAGACGAGACGCAATCGGACCAAAGTACACGAGACTCCATGATCTGGCCTCGAGTTTCCCGTGAAAGKCATATTATAATATCATACGCCGTGCAGAGGTAGGCACAGTTGTCGGAGAGATGGAAACGCCGACTTTATACTGGAATAATTAATTTTTTTTTTTAATAAAAACGCTGTCGACGAATACACAATGAGTGTCTCGTGAATATATATATATATATAATTTTTTTAACAGCTTTTAATTTTTACGCGTATCTATACGAGTACCTGCCTATACTCTTTGGTTAGACCTTAGACACGTAGTATATGATGCCTACCGTATAATATGACTAATATCAGTTTAATTTTATCAGCCGTATAGACGTAACTAGTTCACAAATCTAATAATAATTACCGTGTAGGTACGAGAAACTTCATAGGTATCATCCTTAGATTATCTCCACGACAAACTCAGCTTACGGAAACAATCATTATGTTTAGTGTATATTTAATAAGTATCAATATTGTATTGTTTATACTATATACCCTTAACATTTTTATAAATTAAATGAAATAAATAATAATTACTATAGACCTGGTTACTGTTTAATAATTATAAATGATAATAATGTCTACTAATGATTCACCATATTAAGGTCTGGTCGTCTTGGCATGTTTAGACGTGTATGCAATATTATTTTGATTTAGAACGTTTGAGTATGAATATTGGTATTAAGATACCTACGTCGAAATTCATCAAGTATGTTCACACCTATTTTAGAGTTGAACGATTCAAAGAATGAATAATATATTGRCCATGTGAAATGTATTATTTTTTACAGTAGATGATTCGTTCTTAAACTTCAGAAATAGATTTTCTGGCACTTAATTGAATCTAGTTGGTACTTAGTGTGGTCAAAAGTAAAAATGTACAGTATTTTTTTTAAATAATTGGGAACAAAAAAAAAAAATGTAGAAAATCAAGAGTATTTTTACAAAACCAGTTTTTGATAAAATCATTTTTTTGTTTTGCTGTTATTCGTAAAGGAATAACTGTAGATATTTGAAATTTTCACAAAACGTTCATATGAG